GTACTCCGAGTTGGTCGACCCGAGTGGAGATAGTTTATGAGCGTGTGACCGGTACTTGTGTTCCTGCTGTCTCCAGAACTGGTATAACCCCCACCCCGACCATCATCCCTATCCTAATTGATTTTTTAGTTGTCCTTATTGCTTGTCAAGTGATAGTGGCTAAAAAGTTACTAAGTTAGTTTATAAATAGTTGTGGTTTAGGTTTTTTTACTGTTTTCTTGTATAAAGTTGTGTAAATAATCAGCACTATGAACAATACCAGTGTTAATTCAACTGTTCCTATCCCCTGGGCAGTTATTGGGAATTATTGTGATTTAGAAAAGCCTCAGGGAATTGTTTTGTGTTGTCTGGCAATCTGTTTAATTTTTGTTCTGATGATTGTCTGGCGCCATCAAAATAAAATCAGTTTGTGCTTTTTAAAACCCCCAGTTGTGGTCTCATCCTTTCCGGCATCCCTTCGAACCTCGTGTATTACGGGGACTGACACCCACCTTGCTAGTAATTTTTTTAGCAGGCAGGCCAGTAGCCAGGCTCAGTCTTAAACTGCAAGTGTAATAGAAACTTCAATGTCCATTAAGGCTAACCAAAGACAAACAGCTCAGGGATTTCTAAAAAAACAAGAACGACCATACTTCACCAGACCAAAGGTCCATCTAACCCAGTATCCTGTCTTCCAATGGTGGCCAATTCCAGGTGCCCAGAGGGAATGAACAGATAATCCTCAAGTAATCCATTCCCTGTTACCCATTTTCAGTTTTTGACAGAGGCTAGGATACCATCCCTGCCTATCCTGTCTTATGGACATTGATGAACTTATCCACCACAAATTTATCAAGTTAGTTCTCTTTTGAACTCTGGTATAGTCTTAGCCTTCACAACATCCTCTGGCAAAGAGTTCCACAGGTTAACTATATATTGTGTAAAAAATACTTCATGTTGTTTATTTTAAGCCTGCTGTTTATTAATTTCAGTTGGTGACCTCCTACTTCTTATGTTATACAAACAAGAAAATAACTTTTCCTTATTCACTTTCTTTACAAAACTCATGAGTTTATAGACTATCATATCTGCCCTTAGTCATCTCTTTGCCAAGCTTAGAAGTTGCAATCATATTAATCTCTCCTCATACGGCAGCCATTCCATACTCCTAATAATTTTTGTTGCCTGTTTGTGAACCCTGTCCAACTCTAATATATCTTTTTTCATATGAGGCACTCACATCTGCAAACAGTATTCAAGATGTGGGTGTACCATTGATTTATATAGAGGAAACATGATATTCTCTGTTTTACTATGTATCCCTTTCTAAATGATTCTCAACATTCTATTTGTTTTTTTGACTGCCGCAGAGCACTAAGTGGATGTTTTCAGAGAACTATCTTCAGAGACTCCAAGATCCCTCTCTTGAGTGGTAGCAGATATTTTAATCCTCATCATTTTATATGCATAGTTGGGATGTTTCCCAATATGCATTAGTTTGCATTTATCAACATTAAAATTAAGCTATCTTTGTTGCCCTTTCACCCAGTTTTGTGAGATCCTTTTGAAGTTCTTCACAGTCTGCTTTGAGCAGTTTAGTATCATCTGGAAATTTTGCCACCTCATAGTTTATCCCTTTCTTCAGATCATTTTTTAATACTCTGAATAGGATTGGTCTCAGTACATACTCTTAGAGGACACCACTGGTTACTTACTTTATTATGAAAATTGACTGCTTTCCCCTGCTACTTGTTTCCTGTCTTTTAACCAGTTTTCAATCCATGAGATGACCTACTCTCTTACCCATGACAAATTACTCTGCTTATGATCCTTTGGTGAGGGATCTTGTCAAAAACTTTCCAGAAATCTACATACAGTGTATCCATTGGCTCACTCTTGTCCACATGCTTGCTGACCCCCTCAAGGTATTCTAGTAGATTGATGAGGAATGATTTCCCTTTACAAAAGCCATGTTGACATTTCCCCAACAAATTATGTTCAATTGTGTGTCTGACAATTCTGTTCTTTACTTTAGTTGTTTGATTCTGAAGTTAGACTTACCAGCCTGTAATTGCTAGGATCACTTCTTGAGACTTTTGAAAAACTGGCATCACGTTAGCTATCGTCCAGTCATTTGGTACAGAAGTCTGATTTGCATGACAGGTTACAAACCACAGTTAATATTTCTGCAGTTTCACATTTGAGTTTCTTCAGAATTCTTGGGTGAATGTCATCTGGTCCCAGTGACTTATAACTGGTAAGTTTATCAAATTTGTTCCAAAACCTCTAATGACAGCTCAAGCTGGGACAGTTCCTCAAATTTGTCACCAACAAAGAATGGCTCAGGTTTGGGAGTCTCCCTCACATCTTCAGCCACGAAGAACAATGCAAATAATTAATTTAGTTTCTCCACAATGGCTTTATCGTCCTTGAATGCTCCTTTTAACATCTTTATTGTCCAGTGGCCACTTATATCCCTTATATATGCTTAAAATGCTATCCTCTTCAATTCTGAGCAGCATATTGAAGATAATTCCTCTTTACCATCTGGTTTTCCTTTCCAACAGCATTCAAGCTGGGATAGGGGCTTTCACAGCTACTCCGTTCAGAGGTGTGGGGGAAGAAATCAATAGTCTTTTGTCTACGCCTTGTCTGATGTTTGAAGAGCAGTGGTGGCAACCTCCGACCCATGGCCCATTGGGGTTTTGTGTGTGGCCAATGCAATATTTTGCTTACCATTGCCCATGTGCAGGATTGCCAGATTCTTTTGGTTTCTGTCTGCATTGTTTTTTCCTACTGGATTTACTAAAATAAAACACATGTAAAGCAAGGGCATGTGAAGTGAGGTGTGTGTTGATTGCAACCAAGATCGACCCTGAGAGCCATACGCTCCCTCTGAATCTGACTAAAGAGCTGCTATGGTTGAATGGGGACATCCCGCAAGTTCTAGGTATGCAAGCGCAGTGAGCAAAACTGCCCTATTTTGGGTGACTGTCTTGGTTATGACAATCTTTTGGTCCACTCAGATGACACAGGTCCACTCGTGTAGCCCACTCACTAGTGTGGTTGCCTATCACTGCTGTAGACCTTATTTTATTGGGGAGGAGATAACCCCTCTTATGGTATACTAGCATTTCACACTAAATAATGCTACTCTCATGCCCAGGAGAAAAGGGTTCCTACAGTCTTAGCCAACATATTTGTAGTTAGAGAGCAAACATTTAAAAATTCCCATACATCATGGGATACAGATACTTGTGAGGTGGATTACAAGTATTCCATAAGGTCTAAGCACATTACTATAACTCTAATAAATACTAACACATAGGTGAGACAGAGCAGCTTCCAGCTATGTGTTAATCAGCATTCAGTATGGCCTGGGGCCTTGGCATGAGCTGGCACAGAGTCTGCCAGCATTACGCCCACATGCAGCATACACACAGGGACTGCCTCTGGAAATAGAACTTATGCTGAACTTACCATGGAAGCAGTTTTTATGGGGAGGAGGGGGGAGGGATGACTGATTTGAGCTATAAATCTGCTTCTTTAGTTTACAGTGGTTCCTGGGACCTATTTGCTTCACAAAGCAACAGCCATCTACTTTTATTTTAAGCCTACCTTTCAGCTGTTTATTGAGATTAGTCTTCCCCTCCACAGAGCTGCTCTTACTGTGTTGGGGTTTCTTGCCTGATGGAACAGATGTGATGACAGATTATACAGACAGCTCCATTGCCATTGCAGAAGTCACCGAGCAAGGCTGCAACTGAAACGTAACATTTTGACTCCTAACAAAGGCACATTTTCATCAAGAGACTAATTTTATAGTTTGTTTAAAAACTTGAAAAAATTCATGTGTGCGTGAAGATGCTGGAGAATCCTCCGCTTTTATGAAAAATATGTGCAGCTCAATTTTCTCCACTCACTTTTGAACAGGGACCTACTGCGATCCCAGAGGTTATTTCCTTTCTTGGGACAGGGCAATAAGAGAGAGGCATTGACCTCCCAACATATGTCTACACCACTGTTTCCCAATTTTATTTGGCCACAGAACCCATTTGAACTTGAAATAATTTTGCAGAACCCCTAACTGACTGCACGGAACCTATGACTGACAGCATGTGCAGCACTGAGTAGTGACATCATCGTCCCCACTCTCTGGCTAAGTTGGCATTACACAGGGACACTTATTGTGGCAAACACAAATGAAAATTGTTTTCCATAAAATTCATAAATGAATGAAAATTCCATTCCATTACAATAATTCAGGTGGTAATGGAATTTTCTCGCGGAACCCTTATTTTCCCTTTATAGAACCCTAGGGTTCCGTGGAACACCATTTGGGAAACACTGGTCTACACAGGAAAAATAAACCCACCACAGTAACTCTGGGAACTTGGGCCAATTTACTCAGTCTCTGAGACTTGCTGGAGCAGGCTGGATTTTTGCCTGTGTGGATATTCCATTAGTCATGTCTGGGATCATCGGTGTTGAGTGAAAGCCTAGCTGGGAAGGCAAGGCCAAGCCTCACCCCCTTCCATTTGATGCCCCACCCCGCCCCCACCCAACGCTATGGTGATGTTCCTGTCCCTCTACAGCAACCGGGGAAGGAAGCCACGCTGACCCATTGTGGCCCATGTCCCTCCACAGGGACCAGGCTGCTGAGCCAGGCTGCCTACCCAGGGGTTGGAGGCAAGGTTCTCTGTAAGCTGCAGACTGCACACTCACACAGCAGTTTTCTGAGTTCCCCTCAGAAGTTCAAAGGGAGGCAGGGAGCTCAGCTGATTCAATGGGGGAGGGGCCTCTCACTGAGCAAGCAGCTCCTAAATGGAGCTAGGCTGCCTGCTTGAACTGAGGAGTTCTGAGAGCCAGTAAAAGGGAGCTAAGGAGACAATTAATGGCTAGGGGGATGGGGAGTCAGAGGGAAGGAAATTTAGATTGTCCATCTGCAGGAGGAGAGAGGGACAGAAACTTAGTATTCTCAAGGGTGGAGAGGTAGATACGCTGGAGGGCAGGGAAGGGTCCAGAGTGACCTGGACAGATTAGAGGATTGGGCCAAAAGAAATCTGATGAGGTTCAACAAGGACAAGTGCAGAGTCCTGCCCTTGGGATGGAAGAATCCCAAGCATTGTTACAGGCTGGGAACCAATGGACTAAGTAGCAGTTGACCAGGAAAGGACCTGGGGATTCCAGTGGATGAGAAGCTGGAGATGAGTCAACAGTGTGCCCTGGTAGCCAAGAAGGCTAATGGCATATTGGGGTGCATTAGTAGGAGCACTGCCAGCAGATCTAGAGAAGTGATTATTCCCCTTTATTTGGCATTGGTAACGCCACATCTGGACATATTGTGTCCAGTTCTGGCCCCCCCACTATAGATAGATATGGACACTTTGGAGAGGGTCCAGCGGAGGGCAGCCAAAATGATGAGGGGGCTGGAGCACATGACCTACGAGGAGAGGCTGAGGGACTTGGGTCTGTTTAGTCTGCAGAAGTGAAGAGTGAGGGGGGATTTGATAGCAGCCTTCAACTTCCTGAAGGGAGGTTCCAAAGAGGATTTCTGGCCCCCCCACTATAGATAGATATGGACACTTTGGAGAGGGTCCAGCGGAGGGCAGCCAAAATGATGAGGGGGCTGGAGCACATGACCTACGAGGAGAGGCTGAGGGACTTGGGTCTGTTTAGTCTGCAGAAGTGAAGAGTGAGGGGGGATTTGATAGCAGCCTTCAACTTCCTGAAGGGAGGTTCCAAAGAGGATAGCAAGAGGTTGTTCTCAGTGGGGGCAGATGGCAGAACAAGGAGCAATGGTCTCAAGTTACAATGGGAGAGGTCTAGTTTGGAGATTAGGAAAAACTATTTTACTAGGAGCATGGTGAAGCCCTGGAATGGGTTACCTAGGGAAGTGGTGGAATTTCCATCCCTAGTGATTTTTAAGTCTTGGCTTGACAAAACCCTGGCTGTATTTATATAGTTGGGATTGGTCCTGCCTTGGGCAGGAGGCTGGACCTGATGATCTCCTGAGGTCTCTTCCAGCTCTATGATTCTATTATTCTATTCTATGATTTTTCAGATGTTTATAACTTTTAATAGTTCGTTAGTTCGAATTAACTTTGATAGGCGCTACACATACAAACCGCTAGTTCAAACTTAATTCGAACTAGCGGAGCGCTTAATTCGAACTAGGTAAACCTCATTCTACGAGGACTAATGCCTAGTTCGAATTAACGGGGGTGGGTGGGTGCTGGAATCTGTGCAGTGAGGTAGAGGCAGGGGGTTTTTTTTAGGGGATGTTTGATTAGCTGCAGTCCTCTCTGTCTGACTAGGCTGAAGAGGGGAGCAGGCTTCAAGGGAAGTGTGTGTGCCAGGATATTTTCATCATTGCATTTCAAACAAAATGTATATAAGTGTTAATGGCTTAAGATAAGAAAGAAAAAGGTTATTTTAACAGAATGTTTTTGGAGTGTTGCAGGTATCTAAACTCTGAACTTAATTATTTTAAAAAAATCTGTACAGTATTACTAAGTAATACATGGTAAATTGTATTGCATTAAGGCCAGATCTTTGCTATTCGGTAGCATTCTGTCTCTTAGGAGTCAGAAGTAGCAAGTACTAGCTTGAGCTGTTAGAAAGGTTGATACATGTACTCTCCAAAGGTAGTGTCAATTTTCTTTTTTATTTAATTTCATATTAAATATCGATGCATTGCTCCATGTTAAATATTTCTTGTTTTAATGTATTTTCTTCCACACATATGAGCTGGTTAAAATTATGTGTGTGTGTTTTGTTTGTACTGGTTGTGCACATCCACACACACTCAAACAACCACAATATTGACATTGCTTATAAGAAATTTCAACCCATCCCCCCAAAAATTCAACCCACTCAAGTATAGAAAATGTTAGAGGAAAACTTGTTGGGGGGGGAATCCAGGCTGCCATGCCAGAGTTCTAGCCTTCCCCGGCGGCCGGGCGGAGCTGGGCTGACGCACCATGTTTCCAGCCTTTCCCAGCAGCGGCCCCAGCCTTAGGCAGTTGGTAATGTATTCAGTTTTGGGATGGCTATGCCTTCCCTTGTCTACATTACTGACCGCCCATGTCTGGGATGATGTGACTGAACCATCA